AATTTATCCTATATTTGTCTGTTAACATTCTAATACACTGTGTCCTTGTGCTATTGAGTAGGAATTATGCAAATGCCATCTATACTATCTTGTTTGCATTGTTTTTGAAGGATTGATATTAGACATCTCTACTTTTATTTCCTTTTTTGTAACGTTTTTCTATACTTGTTGCTTAATGTATGATGAAGCTATTCTGGCGCAAACATATTTATATGCACTTATTTCGAAGTGTTTGAAGCTAAGCAGATTTACGCTTGAACAGAAGATTATATAAGGTCATGTTCTTCTTTCCCTCTTAGATAAGCTATGTGAGATCTTAGCTTTTATTACGATACATTAGAAATTTTAGAAATTACGTGATTTCTGTTTCCGCTTCAGGTATATGAAAGTTGGTCTTTATAGGATTCTTTTATATAAAAAAAAGAGAAGGAAAATTATTATTATATATTTCCAGTTTATAATTCATTATCAGGAATAGCTAATTTTATAAGCAAGATATTACGATATGACGATATATAGATTAATTTGACGCTATTTATATTTACTATTTTAATGTCTCGATTTATTGCTTTTAATTCATACCATAAGTGAGTAGAATTTGAGTGTAATGAAATAATTTTCCTATTTAAAGTTAAATACTCATGAATATAGAAGATATACAAGATACAGTAACATCATAAAAATATTTTTATCAGTACTTTTACAGTTGTCATTCTGTTCAGTTCCACAGATGATTACTATTAATAAAATTCATCTTGATTTACAACGTTAAAATTACAAAGAAATAGTTTGCGAATTTCTACTTAACTTGAAACCAACGAAGATTTCGTCATTGAAAACGTTGTCAAATAATATCCTGGTGTGAACGCCTTTTCCAATCTGTCGTAGCATGATCATAATTAATTATTCTTGTCATATGACATTAGTGTTAGGTCTATCGTATTTTATAACATTGTATTCCTTAAGGATTTTTAAGAGTTAGAAGAGTGTATCATAATAACATTTCAACCATACTAGGTGCGCTATAGCCGTTGTCCATAACGCTTTTCACTTAATCCAGAGCTCAACAGACCGGCTGAGAAACAACAGACGCAGTAACAGTCGGAATACTATTATTATACAATTTTCTGAATCTTGAAAAATCACCAAGGGATTAGATAGAGAATATAGTATTGAAAAATATAATAGTTTTAATAATTATGGATTACGATAAGTATAATTAATTAACTATAGATATTTATAGAAAATGTTAGTTGATTCATATGTATAATAAGCGCACACAAAGAGTAAGCCCACCTTCTCTCCATCTGGTCTTTTATGATACTGACCTTCTGCTAGTTTTTCCATTCATAAGTCTCTATTTCTGTTATTTGTAATACACGTTATGCATAATATTCTACATGAACACAGAGCGAAAACAATACGTTCCCAGAATAAGGATGGAAACATTGTGTGCGATGAACGCTACTGGTAGAGGCATGTAATAATACATAATCACTGAGTCATACAATACGTTCCCAGAATAAGGATGGAAACATTGTTGTGCGACTGACTCAGTGATTATGTATTATTACATGCTTCTACCAGCAGCGTTCATAATTGTTGGATTGTCATCTGCTGAGTAAAGAAGTGTGCTGATATTAACATACCTCATTATTAATCGTATATAAATAGATCTGTAGTATAAAATGTGTAATATACAGAGATATAACTCAATTTATCATGTAATAATGAAAGGGTCAGTGGTAACTTTAAAATCCTGGTTCGATTCTCCGCGATGGACTGATTGCAACTAGGCCGCTGTGTGGCTTTAAGTTAACAAAAATTAAAGAAAATTTACATGCACTTAACTTATGCTTTACGCCGTTTACATAGAACCACCAGTAAATGAACTTGCTCTGTTATGAATTTACGTGTAATGAACATTGTTTGAACTTGACAGAGGTAAGAAAGCAGCCTGCTTTTCGCTACTTTTTATGAGACTGAGGGATTACAACACTCTAATTAATTAGAAAATTATCGTAGTGAGCGGCTGCCTTTCTTGTTCAGCCGCTGCGGAGATTATAGGGGCTCCTATGATTATAAAACAGTTATAATCTTAATTACGGAAAACAGGTGTGCAAGAGCGGAAGTAAAGGGAACTGTTCGCTTAGAGTTTGAGAAAGGAATATAAAAGACAGGTGTCCAACCAAAAAAAGACTGGGAGATGTGAGAGGGATGAATAAACTGAGAGAGGCGAAGGAGGAAAGTAATCTGCTGTCTGTAAGAAACGAAACGTAGTTATAAATCTATACCAATAAACAGAAACCTGATATGAGTTAATTCCTGATAGAAATAAGCTGAAGGGAAAGCGGATTGTGAGTATAGCACGATCGTAACAAAGTGGTATCAAAGAGATCTACAACACAGACACTTTACATTACTTACCCATATGGAAATAGGAGTGGATTTAGATACAGTCATACCTGTACAAACACAAGCGCATTCATTTGCAGAATTGTTTATGAAGTGAGATGTTACTTACGCTCAAATACATACCATTAATTTATGCACAAACATATTCTTTGCAAAAACGATTAAACTAAACTTAATATTGTAAACAACTCATCTGTTGTAAGTGGAACGGTATGTGTTACGACATATAAATCTTTTTTTTTTTACATCCCATTAAGAAAACAAAATTAAAGGTTATGAACTCGATAGTACGTTTCTTTATCAGCTGTTACCTTTTTCAATGTGTCGAAGCTAGCTGAATGTCAGACTTGCTTAAAAAAATCTTGTTAGTGAGATCAACTAGTACTTTCTAGCGAGAATTTGGAAATAAAAGATCGTTGTTGTCACGCATCACCTTGTAAACCACGTGACAAATGTTAGTATTATACAAAAGGAATTCTCTTCTTCTGGAATATTCTCATTTTATGTCTCTAAGCCTTTGGAGTTATAAATCCATACATATATCATACAATTGACTATATTTAAGGCTATTATTAAAAACAAAGGCCCACGTTTCAGTATAATAAAATAAAGCCGTTTTATCAATAAATACTTCGGAGTAAAATATCTTTATTCTGAAATGAAGATTTTTTTAGTGTTTTGGAAGCTAGATTTAGTACTTAGAATTTGCTTAAAAACGTGTTGAATCATGAAAAAAGTTAATTAAATTAATCTTTCACTTGTTTTACAGTATTTTAAATACCTGTAGTTTTATATAATATACAAGATCTGTATATATCAGTCATTAATATCTCTCATTTAGTACATTAGTTTTATTTCTGATTGATGTTGTTGTTTGTAGTTAAGCATGAACCTGCAAAGTAATGACAGTTGTACTCAGATAGTACTTTGTGTTGCTTTGAGTGAAAATTCTGAATCAAACTTTATTTTAGTTCGTAATATAGCTACTTTGTTTAGTTCTCGAGAATGAAAGATATATCCTTCATTCTTTGAGAAAAAAAATGATGAATTGTAAGAGCAACCTTCAGATCAATCGACTTTTGATTTTTTCGCATGCCACAAATAAAGTAAAAACAAAACAATCCTGATTTTATCATTCTTTTGACATCTTAGAGTTCACATTTGCAATACAGTTAAATATAATGCAAGATATCACGTGCGTTTTAAAAGTGTGGACGGAAGACTATATTAGAGTTTCGCTAGATGGCGCTAAATTGCAACCTAGGTGCAATCATTGAAATTCATCAATTTGCGTTAGAACCGAAGACGTACCACAGTCACCTGTTTCTGTAAGCAGTGAGCGAGAAAATGTGTAGCTGAAGTTCTTCCCGACTCATAGAATAAGCTACGATAACACCCGCATGACTGCTGCAAGCACGAACATAACAAGCTTCGTTCTGTGAGAGCGAGTATGTAGTCATCTAGGCTCATATACTCAAACTGTAACTCAATTAGAAGTGGATAGCGCCTGAAATGAGATTCGTAGCTAGCTTCTCTCTAGTTAGTGGAGTTTTGTTGTGCTTTATTATTGGAGTAAAGCTCAGTGGTGAGTAATATTTTGTGATGTTTTAATCTTGGTAGTATATAATGTTTTGATATCTTGGTAATATATAATGTTTGATATCTTGGTAATATATAATGTTTGATATCTTGGTAATATATAATGTTTGATATCTTGGTAATATATAATGTTTGATATCTTGGTAAAATATAACGTTTTGATATATTAGTAATATATAATGTTTTGATATCTTGGTAATATATAATGTTTTGATATCTTGGTAATATATAATGTTTGATATCTTGGTAATATATAATGTTTGATAGCTTGGTAATATATAATGTTTGATAGCTTGGTAATATATAATGTTTGATATCTTGGTAATATATAATGTTTGATATCTTGGTAATATATAATGTCTGATATCTTGGTAATATATAATGTTTGATATCTATGTAATTGGAAACAAATAGAATATTTTGTTATAACACTACATTGCTATGCAAATTTTAAAACAAGTATATTGAACTTGTCCCAAAGATGATTTAATAATCAGATTGTAAGATTTTATCGTTATTGCACAAGATATAAAATAATGCAAGTAGTTTGATCTTAAAACATATCAGTGCGTTATTAAAAAATATCATAAGCCTGCAAGATTTGTGGATTAGATATCTTTTGTTTTACAGCCTACTGATGAACCAAACAAACAAAACACTGACTATTCCTCAGACCAACTGTGAGATCTGAAAATATTATCACATTCTTATATAAAAATACACTATATTAGGATATAATAATATGGGAAATCTTTAAAATGGGGAGCATAGTTAAGGCACTTATAAATTTCATTTTCACAACTTTACTGTAAACTAAGCTTGTAGTATACATTACGTATTATCAATAGCAAAAAATGAGTGGCTGAAGACACAAAAAGATAGAAAATATTCATATAATTTTCTTAAGTTATGCGATTTATCTTATTTCACAGATAGCGATATCACGTGACAGTAATATAATTATTAGCACGTGAACTTTTACGTGAAAACTACTTTCAGTTTAGTTTGTCTTGAAAGAAAACACTTCATAGATGATGATTTTTTGATGTAAGGTGTGGAAGTAGAAATAGCGTAATAAAATTATTTTGAAATATAGCTGTTATCATTTCCACATTTTGCATATTATTAACATGAAAGTAACTAGAATTTTGCTAAGAAATCTTGCATCAATTAGTTTTACTTTGCCCATTAATTCTTGGACTACGCTTGACACATAAGTATAATTACAAGACAATTATTGCCCCCTGTAAAAGGGCTATGTCCTTCATAGACCATAGTAATGCAAAGACACAAGTCTGCGGTAAAAAAAGATATTACAATAGTTTTTAAGGGATTCAGAGATTTGATGTTACAATTCTATTAGTTTATTTAACGTTTGGTATATATATAAATAGCAATATTGCATTAATTTGTTACAATACATGTGTTTATCGTTCATTACTGCATATTAAATACAAGTATTTACTGGAGACGTCCTGTTTTTTGATTTGATGTATTTTATTAAAAATACAAAACCTTGTGTTAGGAAGCTATTTTCAGCTGGTTCATTTTCATTAAACGACCGTTCATTTAAGTGTGAAAAGTGAAAGATTCTTTGCATGACACTTTGGATCAGTTTTGAACTTTTAATAAATATATTACATTTGGAACGTGTCATATTTTGGAAGTCGACTAATCAACTAATGCACACTTTTGTTATATAAAATATAGAACTTCATTCAACAAAGAATACCTTCATAGAAATTCCTTTTATGAGTTTGTTTGTTTTTTCCAATTGTTGCTCCAGAAAAATCACCCACTTTGAGCAAACGAGTAGTTAAAATAATTATAATAAAAAGTTAACGTTATTAATTCTAGTATATTTCTCACTCACAAACACGTATTGCTATTATACTTTCTTGTAAATAAGTTATTACAGATATATGTTATACGCCTAGGGCCTTCACGGGTTCTATTAATTTCACTTCTTACTTGACGTAAATATATTTTATTTATCTTACGTGGTGTAAAACTAACAAAGGTGGTCTTTTACACTTAGTTTCATTTTTTTTTTCGAAGTAAAACTCTCTAACAGTGTTGTTGCTTATGAATTTTATACACGGTAAGGAATAATCATAGCACTAATGTTCGTTTATTTCTTTTTTACACTAAGTACAACGGTAAGAAATTTTCACAGTGCAACTTTTCATTTGGTTTCGTTTCCTACACAGCATAAGCATATAGATTGTTACCTATATACTTTTTTTACATAGCTTATAACACTTAAAACCAGAGGGGTTCGATACTGTCGGTGGGCACTGCACGTAAAGTCAATTGCGTATTTTTGACGCTTAAACACAAACAACAAAAATAGATGTTGATAATTGTCACAGTAGACTTATTGTTTCTACAGAACTTTTTTATAGCCTTTTTTTACAATGAACGATTTGTATGAAAATACTTATTTTGAAAATTTAATTTGTATTTAATTAAGAGGCAGTCATATCTTTAAGTACATTTTACTGAATAAGGGCTATTTTTCCAATTTTGACTTTTAATCCGTTTTTATCTAGCATAAAGAAAGAAGGGGTGTTTTTACACATTTTGGAGTGACTTCGCTAATTCATAAACATTGAAGATGTAAATACAAACAACTTCGAAGTTTATATTGTTTTGGACATATACTGTGTAATGCACCAGTTCATTAGATTTATATTCAAAAATCAATAAAACTCATCGGTTATTTCACTTGTAAGTTTCTAACTAAATACGATAATAATATCATCGTCAGTTGTGATAAATCTAATGATTATTCTCGTTACTGAAACTTGACAGCAGGTGTTAATTAATTTGAAGCTAACTAACGTTATGTATAAATCAACTGTATTTTAACTTAGAGGGTTGTAACTACCGAACACGTCGCAAAATAACTGTTCCATTAACTGATATGTAATCAACGCGTAAAATGGCTAACATTTTTACAAAACTACTCACCGAAACTAGAGCTTTTAATGCCAAATTAAACAACGTAAAAAAACCTATTATAGGAAATTCGAGAATAATATATATATATAACAGTTTTTAAAAAAAACATAGCAATCATATTGTTGTGCATTATAGAATGCAATGGTTACAATCAAATTTTAATAAAGATAGAACAAGTATTTTGAGTGCTTTACCAAACTGTACCAAAACAACGTTTATCTACAAAATAATGTCATTCAATATATGAATAAATGCTACCTCACCAAAAGTATGTCTATACGGTAACTTCATTGATCTTGGAAGAGAATAAGAGATATCATCGTAAAACAAGCATATAAGCCAAATATTTCTAATCTCATCGCTTATTTCTGGTTAAAACATAAGTTTCTCTTTAATGCAATAAAGTTATACTTCTGAACATACAAATAAAAACACCTAAAACGTCTATTTATTTGGAATTTATGAACCATATATAGCTCATTTAATATACTTTTAAACCTGTATGAAATTATAAAAACATAGGAAAATAATATTAAATAGCTTCGTAGGAAAATACAATTTTCTTGCAGCTTACTCTCGAAGCTTTGTTTTATGCAAGTGTTTCTTTACACAGTCGCCAAAAATCACAGTTAACATCTTTTCTAATATTATATATTTGTGTGCCTCATTGGAGGACATACTTTATAGTTACCTATATACAATAAAAAAATAAAAACTAAGAATAATAAACAAGTTTCAATGCAAATATACCATGCTAATCTATATTGAAATTAACTGCACTTTATAAAATTTTTGTTCCCAAATTTCATTGGAAATACTTTTTTCTGTCGTCAGTCTGCTTGTATGATTGCTATGATTACACAATATTGCCCAACAGTGTAATTTGCGTTGTAATAAGCTCTTTTGAATGACAGAAAGGTCAATCTTGACAAATTTTCCACAGAACTCCACTGTTCATGAATGTTGGCTTTCAAGACCACATTTAAGAAGACCAATGTCATCGTGAGACTTTACAGGTGTGTGGTCGAATGGAGTTGCTGTGATTCTATTGTATTCGATCATCTGATCTTTCTCGTAAAAATAGCCGTTGATTTCGAGGTGTGGCTAGAAGATATTTTGGCTAGGGAACTTTTATCAACTTTAAATTCTTGTATATCATCTTATTAAAGGTATTATAGTAACGTCTAGCTTCATTGCGATGGTTATTTGGGTTTGAGGGTTCTCTTTTGTAACCAGGAGGGTGTTGCTCTATATTGGCTTAGGGTGTGGTTTTACGGCCCTTGCTGTCCCAAACGCTCTGCTGTGCGTGTTTTTCCATGCATAAGGAGAACATTGAAATCTTCGTTCTTTAAAATGTTTGGCTCTGCATAGTTTACCAATCTCACTATACGAACATCTTTTCTCAGTAAAGGCTACAACAAAATTATCTTTGTCCATAGATCTATTCGTGGCGGCAATGCACTGTTCAAAAACCAAAAATTCTTTGTAGGCCAATATGTAAGTGCTAAACATGCCGCTGCGTTAGCGTATTGAAATCGTTTATATAAAGGACGATTATCGTTCTTGAAAAATGTAGAGAAAGAACAAAACCAATTTAGATGTAACTTTGTGTTACACGTCAAAATCTGAATTGTAGGTATATACCTTAGGGCCAACGAGATAACACTTTAGAGTACCAGATAAACATCCTATTTTGTTTTGGTGAAAATTAAATAGCATGTGAATTTGTTTATCTTTAACCTGGATGTAAACGTTCCGTTTTATGGTTTTTCTTTGCCTTACAGTTATAAAATATATTTCTGGAACAAATAGAGTAAAATTAACAAAATATATCTTTTAATTGAATAATAACAAAAAAAGAGCACAATTTAACAGATTCCAACTTTTAAACACATCGCAACATTCATTATTTTAAAGGTGGTTTTGTACGGTTGATTGGTCATTACTGGTCTTTCCAGAATTATTAAAATACGCTATTTGACTCTAAACTAAAGATCAGCTTAACTCAGTATAAATTTAGATTTTTTTAAATAGAAACTGAAATTTACAGAGCGTAGCTTTCTTCATTTTTACCCCAGATAAATATTACGACAAAAAGCTTGTTTTGTTTGTTTATTTGAAGTGAAGCACAAAGCTACACAAAGGACTCTCTGTGCTCTGCCCACCACGAGCATCGAAACCAGGTTTCTAGCGTTGTACGTCCGCAGACATACCGCTGTGCCACTGGTAGACAAAAACAAACTACTCTTAATTAACATGGTGTAAATTGCGTAGTGGAAATAAAAATAAGAGTTTACCGTAAAACAAAAATTGTGTAACTAGAATTACAGTTTAACAAACAGTAAATTTTTGCTTTCAGTTAAAAAACAAATATCATTACTGAAAATAATCGCAATTAAACAAGCAATAACTTTATTTGTGTTTAGTTAAAAATAAAAAAAAATCTCGACAACAATAACAGTTTATTAAGTTGTAGCTTGTATCTCACTGAACAATAACAGTTTATTAAGTTGTAACTTGTATCTCAATGAAAAATAACAGTTTATTAAGTTGTAACTTGTATCTCAATGAAAAATAACAGTTTATTAAGTTGTAACTTGTATCTCAATGAACAATAACAGTTTATTAAGTTGTAACTTGTATCTCAATGAACAATAACAGTTTATTAAGTTGTAACTTGTATCTCAATGAACAATAACAGTTTATTA